CTGCCTCCTGCAAATACTCCACAGTGCAACTGGCACACAGTGGGCCCACTTTTACCATCCTGCCCACCATGTTCTTCATCCCTTGCAGGCTAGCTCAGTGACCATCCTTCAGACTGTTACAGATCTCTGTTGGTGGCCTATCCCTTCTATCTCTCAGGCCCTCTCAGGCTTCACCACCTCTCTGTTGTCTCCTTTGTTAGGGCCCACCTAGCTCTTCCTATCCCAGAAACATCCTCAGCATCCTACTGGGTACATTCTACCAGCAGAAGAAAGAAACATAAAATTGCTGAGTCTCCAAGAGGCTCAACCTCTCCTTGGGGTTGGTTCTGGCCTTTGATGGTTTCCTCCTCTTTGGGATTTTTTTCCCCTTGTGGTTGGTATATTGAAAGGGGCCTTGGGCCACCTTTTAATGAGGATGCCCCCTCTACCAAAGTCTGACTTACTTAGGCCCATGTAATACAAGCTAGGGGTGTATCTATGGTCTAGTTCCTTTGCCAGCACTAGAAAGCCAGGTGCTCCCACAACTCTGGGTTCAGAATCTTCAGAGTTCAATTAGTCGGGGTAGTTCCCACCTCTCTTCCAGTCTACCCTGAGGCAGCTGTTCTAGGACTTCTGGGCATGAGTATGATAAAGTCCTAGAGAAACAGCCAGGGCAGCCTACTGAGAGGGCAGCTAAGGAAGCACCCCTAGAGGTCTCCAGGGGAGAGGTGGCAATGTCTCAGCGGAGGCCCTGTACCTAGGTTTTGAAGAAAAAGAGGTACCAGAGAAGAAAGGAAATTCCAGGATTCCATCTCTGCTTCTACTACCCAGGGCAAAGAGCTTTGCGTGGCAGAGACCATAGCAATTAAGGAAGGCTGTATGCCTTACCTCATACCTGTGTGCCTGTGTGTGTGTGTGTGTGTGTGTGTGTTATGGCTGTGTGTGTGATGTGCATCTACATGTTGGGGGGTATGTATGTGATGTGTCTATGTATATGTGTGTGTCTGTGTGTTAGTGTGTGTTCATGTGTTGATGTGTGTTTACTGTGTCTAGTGTATGGGTATGCGTCTGTGTGTTGTGCATATGTGTCAAGTGTGCATGACTGTGTCTATGTGTGTGTGCCTATGTGTGTCTGTTTGTGTGTCTGTGTTGATTATGTGTTTACTGTGTCTATGTGTATGTTGGTATCTATATGTGTGATATGTATCTGTGGTATGTGTGTGTTGGTGTCTGTGTGTGGTATGTATGTATTGGGTATGCATATGTCTGCGTGTCTGTGTGTTTGGGTGTATGTCTATGTGTGTATCCATATGTGTGTGTCTGTGTGTAGAGGGATGTTGGTCTTTGGGTGTGGGGGAGTATTGGTGTCTGTGTGTGTGGTGTGTGTCATATATCTGTCATGTGTCTATGTTGGTGTGTATTGGTGTCTGTGTATATGGTATATGTGTGTGTGTCTCTCTGTGTCTGTATGTAGGTATGTATGTCTACGTGTGGGGAATGTTGGTGTCGGGGGGGCGTGTTGGTGTGTGTGGTGTGTATCAGGTGTGTGTGTGTGTATACCTGTCACGTTTCTCTGTGTGTGTTGGTGTCTGTGTATATGGTATATGTGTGTATGTGTCTGTGTGTGTGTCTGTAGGGGGAAATGTTGGTGTCTGTGTATGTGGGAGAGTGTTTGGGTCTGTGTAGTGTACATTGTGTAGCTGTCACATGTCTATGCTGGTGTCTGTGTGTATGGTATATGTGTGTCTGTGTGTGTCTGTGTGGTATGTATGTCTCAGGTGTCTCTGAGTGTGTGTATATTGGTGTGTGTGCTTTAGTGATTGTGTGTGTGTGGTATGTTTTGGGTGTGTGTGTATGTGTCTGGGTCTGTGCGTGTGGTGTGTTTGTGTCAGGTGTCTGTGTGGGTGGTTGGCATGTCTGTGTGTGTTGGTGTCTGTGCATGTGGTATGTAAGTGTGTCTGTGTGTTGGTGTGTATGTGTCAGATGTGTGTGTTATGTATGGGTCAGATGTCGGTGTCTATGTGTGTCTCTGTGTGTCTGTGTTGGTGTCTGTATATGTGATGTGTATATGTTGGGTGTGTGTGTCTGTGTATGTATATCTCTGTGTGTCTGTGTGTTGGTGTCTGTGTGTAAATGTGTCCGTGTGTTCGGTGTCCATGTGTGTAAATGTCCATATTGGTTGCAGTATGTATCTGTGTGTATGGTTTGTATGTGTGGGGTATCTGTGTGTGTGTGTATGTGTGTGTGTGTGTGTGTGTGTGTATGTGTGTGTGTGCTGGGTGGCAAGAGAGAAATCTGAACAGGTACCTAGGTTTGAAATTTATCTTTACAGATCGATGACAGGTTTCACAAGGAGAAAAAGGAGTCTGGGGTGGGTGGGGGCTAGCTAAATGGCTCAGCAGGTGCAGGTGCTTGCTATGCAAGCCTGATGATCTGAGGCCCATCCTTAGAACTCATAGTGGAAGGAGAGAATTGACCCCACTAAGTTGTCCTCTGACTTGTACACGTGTACCATGGCATACGCTCATACACACAAAGTCTGGAAGAATTTCCTCTGATTTCTGGTTTGTCAAATGTTCCAACCCCAAACTCCCTAATTCAGCTTACCATGCATGCATGCTCATGACCTGCAGGTGGTCTTTGCTTCTGCGTTCTGTGTCCCACCAGTGCCCACACTTCAAGTCCACATCTGATGACTTTCCTTTCTTCCTCGTAGTTGCCACCCACCCACTCAGGCTTCATTGCTTCCCTCACCATCTCACTGCCAGAATCTTCTCATTAGGGTAGCTGCCTCTCTTCTCTCCCCAATCCAGTTCTTTCTGTTATGCACATAACTGACCATGATCGTCCCTAGCTCAAAAATCCCAAACATTTCCCAACTATCTGGAAAACTAGGTTTCTGCAGATTGAAGCTCTTAAGATAGCATCAACGTTTCGGACACACCTCTTCAGCCTAGGTGGCCTTCACAGAGCTTTCAGATCCTCACAGTCAAAAAGGCCCTGGTCCCCCATACTCCTGAACAGTTCATTTGGACCACTTTTGGGTTAATTTATTCATTCAATTACCCCTTCAGCCCTTCTCCACTAAACATAGGGCACCTACTACAGGCCAAAAGTGTACCAGATTGTGCTATCACTCTCAACAGACTTAGCTCCTGTTACACTGAAACTCTTGACAGCTGGGTCCTCTATGCACATCCCCTAGAGCCTCTAGGCCCAGCAAACCACAGGTACTCCAAAAATAAAATGATTGAAATGAATAGAGAAATTATCATAAGCTTCCTTAAATAGTAAACTGCTGTTAAGTGAATCCAAAATCAATTTCAATGATAGATTTAAAGTATGATTCACTATTTTTCAGGTGCATATTAACTATGTCAAGGGAGATGCATTTATACACATAGTTCTGTTCCTTCTCCCACCACCAGCCACCCCACTATTCCTACTCCCACAACACACCACACAAATTCTCACCATGGTGTGGCTTTTATAGTAACTGCATCTTGGCTGGTCCTAATGGAAGAAGGAATTTGTGTAACCAGAATAGTCACCTACAGTCAGGGATGTGCTCTGAGACATTTTATTCCACCCCCACAAGCAGCCCTCCCACCCCATACCTGTCACCTGAACCTACCTGACTCCCTCCCAGAAGTCACAGGCCAGAAAAGCCAGCCCAGTAGAAACAGCAGAGTTCTAAAGCCCAAGCCAGGAACAGAGCTGAGTATGGAAGACCCTCCTGGAGAAGGGGCCTTGAAGGTTGGGGGTGGGCTGTGTGCAAGGGAAGGTCACTTTCTGCAGCCACTCAGCACCCATCCATCTTCCCACAACTTGTCAAAGAAAACACATGCATCACCCGACCCTACCTATGTGGGAGGGAAGAGGCAAGACCCAGCTCAGGTCTCCCACACTGCTCAACCTCCTGTCCTGACATATTCCTGGACTCTGGGACGCCTGGTGTCTGTCATTCCAGTGTCTATTACCACTACATGCCAGACCTAGTGTGACTTCTCAGGTCCTTATCAAGGCCTCTCCACAGAGCTGGGCTGCTGGGGACAGGCTTCTGGCAAACTCCTGCCAGGGGTCCTAGATCCTTCCCAATTAAATTGAGCCTTGTGCTTGTGGAGGAAGGGGGGAGGGTGAGTGGGAGAGAGAGAGAAACGGAGGTGGCGTTGGAGGGAGAGAAAGGGGGGGAGAGGGAGAGAGGGAGAGAGGGAGAGGAGAGGAGAGGAGAGGGGAGAGAGAGAGAGAGAGAGAGAGAGAGAGAGAGAGAGAGAGAGAGAGAGAGAGAGAGATATGAGAAAAGGGAGAGAGAGAGAGAGAGAGAGACTGAAAGACTTCAGGAGGAAAGATTTTTTTCCCCCTATTGGAACGCCCGTCCCTGGAAGATGCCACTATCACCCTAAAGATGTCCTTGCTCTTCGTATGTCCCGCTTCTCCTGCCACTCCACTGTCAGGGGAGATGAAGCTCAGGATAGTCCCCAAGTAGGGTAGGGGAAACAGCCCGACAGGGCCTGGGATAAGGACTCCTGGCCCAGTTCAGGAGGAAAGATTTTTTTCCCCCTATTGGAACGCCCGTCCCTGGAAGATGCCACTATCACCCTAAAGATGTCCTTGCTCTTCGTATGTCCCGCTTCTCCTGCCACTCCACTGTCAGGGGAGATGAAGCTCAGGATAGTCCCCAAGTAGGGTAGGGGAAACAGCCCGACAGGGCCTGGGATAAGGACTCCTGGCCCAGGCTTCCGTGTCCCAGGCAGTGTGTGTCTGGCTATCCCGCTGTCCCGGTCCCGCTCTGTCCAAAGCTCCTATCTCCACCGTGGCCGGCTTACCTCCCACCCGGGGAAGAGGAGTTTGCGCCGCCAAACGTGGGGACCACTTGGGTGCCCTCAATCACCGCCTCTCTAGGACTGATATTCCCGCACCCGACTGTCACTGAACTTTCTCCGGCGCATGCCGTCTTGGGGGTACCAAGCTCCCCACCCCGAGCCCACCCAAAGCCCCACGTCGCGGCTGCAGCGCTTCACCTGCTCGCGGCTGGTGGAGGCTCCCGCTGCCTGCCGCGCGTCCAGACTCAGGCGCCGCCCGGCGGTCCCCGCGCAGCTGCCGCCGCCGCTGCCACCACCGGTGCCGCCGCCGCGCCCGCCCGGAGCTGCTGTCGTCGCAGCGGGTCTCCCACAGCGCTGGAGGGAAGATGCGGTCCCCGACGTCTTCCGAGGGGCTCGGCCTCCGGGGGCGCCTGCAAGCAGCCGCCCAGCCGCGTCCTGCAGCCGGCACACACAGCCCGCCGCGCCGAGCCGCACGGCGCTCGGGATCCACCAAGCCTCCGGGATGGGCGGGGATTCCCTCCCTCTGCTGGATTCGAGGGGCGGGAATACCTTCCCAGAGTGACAGGGACGGGGGGCGGGGATTCCCCGGGAGGATGACAAGGTGGGCGGGGATTCCCCCGAGCGAGCCCCGCGGCGGGCAGGGCGGCTCTCCCGGTGAACCAGCAGCCCCGGTGCACCCGCTTCCCGGGGATCCGGGGAGAAAAGGATCCAGGAGACTGCAGCTCAGAATTGCCTTGTAGGCAGGGCTTGGGGCGCCATCTAGGTGGAAGAATGAGAGCTAGGGGACTTGAACTTGCTTTTGCATAGCACTTAACATAGCACGGACAAAAATGTCAATTGCTTTGATTGTCAAAGAATGGTGTGGAGAGCCAGCTACCCACCCTAGCTACCCTTGGCCTCTGGTCCTGAGGAAACCGAACTTAATTTAGCGCTGGTATGAGAATCCCTCCGAAGAGAGAACCTCTTTGCACCTCAGAGCTGCTTAATCCTTCAATTAAGCCCCTGAAGGAAATTCCACTCTCCTGGGATCGAGGCTTTGGCTCTTGTGAGCACTAGCCAGCAGCTCCTGCTGAGTGGACAGGGACAGCTACGGCCAATCGCCCTTGGCCTTGTTCCAGGTCACTGGGGGGAACGCAGCCTCCGGCTTTTCAGATGCTATGGATTCTCAGGAAGCCTTCAAATATTTTTGGTTCTCTTTTTGTCATCCTTGTCGTTCTGCCTACCACAGGGAGAGGATGATAAGAACGTAATAGGGAGACTGCACAGCTCTGCAAATTAAGCTCTCTTGAGAGGAAAAAGCTGGTCTTTTTCAAGTGCTAGCAGATAAGGGTAAAAAACATATGAAAAATTACAAAACCCGGGATCATGAATAGTTGAATAATGCTTTTGACATTTTCTGCAGAGCAGTAATTGGAAATCTTTGCTTTGAGGGAGATGGGACTAGGATGGAGCATGGTTGGGCTCTAGATTTGCCCAGTAGGGCAATAAACTCTGGTCTCCAAGAGCAGATAGATATAAATCACCTGCAGACCCCACAGAGCTGTCCCTCAACATCAGACACCAGGGGAGTCTCAAGGCATTTCAAGATGGTATTTTCAGCAGGGCCTGGGGTGAAGATGTACTTAGATTGAGCTCTTCCTCAGCTTTTATAATTAAGCAGCCACTGAGATCAGTGCCTGCAGGAATCCAGGCCTTGTGTACTATGAGCTGGGCAAACTCAGGCACCCAGACCTTCCTGTCTATAAATAGAGAAAACATGTAATGAAGAAGTGTGTAAGGATCAGCAGTTAGTTGTTCAGCATAGCACTTAGGGGATGCTCAGTGAAATAGGATCCATTGTCTAGAAAGGTATTAGGATATTAGGATACCATTTAAAAATCCTTCCGCACTCTTGCAGGACAGGTGTTATCTGTTTGTTCAACAGTCCCAAGCTCATCTGCTGCTACTCCTGTTCAATCTCCACAGCCATGAAGAGACAGCCTGTGTATTCGCAGCCTCTGTACCCAGCACCTGATGCAATCCTGCTGTCTTCAGCACTCAACTGAATATGCAAGTGGATTATCAACCCAAGTGTTCTCAGTGTTCTTTCTTAACCACCCCATTCCAATCTTTTCATCCCAGCCCTCTACTACAGCATATAAACTCGGTTTCCTTTGCCAGAATGATATTCTCACTGTGCTGGGTCTGCAGAAATCCCAGAGTTCAGTGTTTCCTCTCCTGGGAGGGTGTCTCTGCTCACAGCATCAACATCAGGTGCCCTCATCCTCATTAACTGCTGCAAAGGACGCATTTTCCTCCAGTTACTAATTTAGCCTTTGTCAGGTGTGCCAAGTTACGAGGATCATAGTGTTTGTCTCACATGTTTCTAGCTTCTGAGTTCCTGGAGGTGAAAGAATTCAGATCTTACCGTGTTTCCAAACCATGATGTGATCTAGCATCCAACCTGATAGTCACTCAATATTTACCAAATTAAAATGAGTCATTAGGCTGCTGGGGATATGGGTCTATGGGGAAAGTGCTGCCAGACAAGCATGAGGACTTGAGTTTGAATCCCCAGAACCATGTAAAGCCAGGCTACACAGTAGTGCATCTGTAATGCCAGTGGCCCTAGGGTTAGCTAGGAAGCAGAAATAGGAGACTCCTGAGAAGCTCTGGAGCCAGATAGCCTGCCATACAGTGACAGCAACAGTGAGAGGGAGACCTGTCTCAAGCAAGGTGGGAGGTAACGACCAGGCCCGAAGGCTGTTCTCTGATCTCCACACACATGTAATGTGTGTTACACATGCATGCACCCACACTCACATACACAAGCATGTGCACACATCATACACATACACAAAATGAGTTATTAAATATATAAGTGTTGATATGTATGTTTCACACTACGCATAGATATATGTGGTTGAACTACTTTGTTATCTGCCCCTTTCAGACATGGTCCTGCTGACCTGACCTGCTGAAGATCTATCTCTTTCCAATCACTTTTCATCTGATGTTCTCCAGATATGTTTGCCTGACTTCTTGTCAGTAATCTCTCAGCCCTCAAGGGGTCAATCAAATGCCCTTGCAGTCTTGTCAATTTGAAAAGCTGACACCTGAAGGCATTTATTTGCCAGTGTTTGAAGATCAAAATGTAAATCCATTCTGTCCCCTTGTTAAATATTTAGTCACAGATTAGTGCTTCCATCCAAGTTGCCACTTTATTGCTCATAGCATACATGGTGTAAAGGAGGAGACAGGATGTGGAAAGCTATGGCCTAAGAGAAAAGGAAGGTGAAATTAAGGAAGAAAGAAAGACTCTTTTGCCCTGGATATAACAGGGTTAACAGCACAAAAAATGTGGTGTCAGGGCTGGAGAAACAACTCAGTGGTTAAGAGCACTGACTGTTCTTGCAGAGGACCCGAGTTCCATTCCTAGCACCCATGTGGTGGCTAACAACTGTCCGTACATCCAGTTCCGGGGATCTGATGCCTCTTCTGACCTCTGCAGGCATTGTATGACACGGGTACACTTATACTCATGCAGGCAATACACTCATATATATATATATATATATATAGTTTTAAAGTGAAGGTTTAGAGAAGTGACCAAAAATAGAGTTCTTCACTCCCTGTAGCCCCAGCTGTCCTGGAACTCACTATGTAGACCAGGCTGGCCTTGAACTCACAGAGATCCGCCTACCTCTGCCTCCCGAGTGCTGGAATTAAAGGTGTGCACCACCATGCCCGGCTCAGTTGAGTTTTTTAGGTACAACTCTGACTGCAGTGACATTTGGTTCTCCACTGAGCTTTTTCTTATGAAGAAGAATTTACCTACCATGTAGATTCTTCACATGTTTCTGGAAGAGAAACTAGAAGTTTCACCCCTTTCCATCCCTCCTCCTCAACTGTTCTTCCAAGTTCATTTCCAGGGAGGAATAGGAGGACCCTCAGTCAACTACTGGTTCAGTTCCCTCTCTCCTCCCAGGCTCTGTGGGTTCATTTTATCTCCAACCCAGACTCTACCTTCCTGTTTACCTAGCTAATTATAATTACCTCCCTTTTCTTTCTTCTGCAAATTCCTTTCTTCTAAAGCTTCCATTTCATGACTTTAAATTGGAATGTGCCAAGAAAGGGCTTAAAAGTAACTACTGGATTCCCCAAACAGATTGTGTTTAAAGGTTCCCAGGAGATGGGAAATTCAATACCTGAGGTCCTCACCCCCTGAAATCACCATATTCTGGGTATGTGGAAGTTGGGATCCCAGATCTTGCATTTTTTTAATCAAAGTTTTTTTTTTAATTTAATTTAATTTTTTTATGTATATGCGTGTATTGCCTGCATGTAGGTAAGTGCATCTGTGTCATGCAATGCCCATGGAGGTCAGAAGAAGCTGTGGGATCCCTTGGGACTGGAGTTACAGACAGTTGTTAGCTGCCATGTGGATGCTGGGATTCGAACCTGGGTCTTCTGCAAAAACAACCAGTGTTTTTAACCACCAAGCCATCTCTCCAGCCCCTTAAAGTTTAAAAAAAAAATTTTTTTTAATTTTATGTGTATAGCTGTATTGCTTGCATGTAAATGCCCGTGTCGTGCAATGCCCACAGAAGATAGAAGAGGGCATCAGATCCCCTAGAACTGGAGTTATAGATGGTTGTTAGCCACCATGTGGGTGCTGAGATTCAAACCCAGATCTTTTGCAAGAACAGTCAGTGCTCTTAACCAGTGAGCCATCTCTCCAGCCCCTTAAATTTATTCTTATTTTATGTGTACGAGTGCACCACCATGTGTGTGCAGTGACCATGGAGGCTAGAAAAGGGCATCAGATCCCCCTGAACTGGAGTTACAGATGGTTGTTATCCACCTGTGGGTTCTGGGAACCAAACCTAGGTCCAGGTCCTCTGCAAGAACAACCAGGGCTCTTAACCCCTGAGCCATCTCTCCAGCCCCAGATCTTACAGTTTTTTTTTTTTTTTTTTTTTTTTTTTTTTTTTTTAAAAAAAAGAGAGAGGGTCCCACTTTGTAGCCCTGGCTGAACTGAAACTCCCTATGTAGACCAGGCTGGCTTTGAACTCATAGGAATCCACCTGCTTCTGTCTCCCGAGTGCTGGGATTAAAGGTGTGTGCCATCACATCCAGCACATTCTTCATTCTTAACCCAAAGCCCTGTGGCTGCAATTTGGGTGACCTATGGGCCACACTTAGAGAAACTGCAAGATGGTGGCTTATAAACAAGCTGCTGCCCAGGCACACATGTGATAATATTTGTGTAATATTTATTGGTCTCAGACCAAATCTTTTATTAGCCAATATACAAAATGGACCTATAGCTGATGCATGCTATTTTAAAATATGTTTAGGAAAAAAAATTAAGTGCTTTCCATTCTATGTATAATGAAAAAGATTTTTGACTAGATACATGAACATGGATATTAGAACCTGGACATGTGCTTTGTCCTTTTCAGAGTTGTCTAATTGTCCTTTTCAGAGTTGTCT